TAGATACTGATTCTTAAAGGTTGTAGTAGATCGTAGGAGCAAAGTGTTTCTATCGCTTATCATCGAAATGGTCAGACGTCAGTTCAATGTTGTTTCATCGCTTCCTTACTTCGATACTCTGTAATGTCGGGATATATCCCTAACACCCTTATATTATCTTTTAGAATTACATAATTTTGTTGGAGGTTAGGTATTAATATTGAGCATGAAAGTTTTTTAAAAGGCGCGAACCCACGAATTTGATAAGGTTGCGTAGGCCTTTCGACGAAGTGTTTTTGTCGTATATTATTAATGTGATTCCGTAGCTTTTGTTCAGAATATTTCTGCCGCCTCGATCAATTCAGTTTCTGATTGTCGAAATATTTTTTCAAACAACTGTGAAATTTGAAAAATACTGTAAAAATTAAGGTACTGGTATTGATCATACTCGTAATATATTTCATAAGGAAAAGTGGAATCAATATAGATAATACAATTAGTAATACTCAATCGGGCCATTCTCACAAACTAAAGTTTAATTCATTTTTTTATCGATACCTGACCGATTCCTGCATTATTTCAATCGATTGCAAGTTTCAGGGATTTTTGACGAAATACATTGAGATTTAGAGCGCCCCCCCCCCCGCCACCAATCGGCCCAATCGACCCAATCAGTTGATCGACTTTCGAATGCTTCTTTCGAGGAAGGGTATCATGTCTAATTACGGTAAAAAACAGTCGAGGACTCAAATAAATTTATACTTGAGTGAAAAACGTGATGATATCATCAGAAAAAAATTCCCTTTTTTACGAAGAATCAAATGTAGGAAATTTTTGGATTGTAGGATTTGTGCCAGGAATTTTTTTAGGAATCAATAAGGGACTAGGACTCATCTCAGAGCTATCATCGCATTAATAGAAAATGGACGGAGAAAAAGGAAAAATAGGTTAAACGAAGAGAGGAAAAGGGAGAAATAAATAATGGATAGTAATAACGTCAAGGAAGAACTGGAAGGCGAGAGGATGAAAACATGCAGAGGAACGCTAATGTAGATAATTTATTGTTATTCGAGGGAATTGTGTTCGGCTGATGCAGCTACGGCCTTTATGCACGCTCGCCGAATACATAATTCAAGAAATATATAAATGAATGAAACAAATAAATAAGTAACAGAGACAATTTTCATCTTCTCTCTTCCCCGCGTAGGCAACAAGCATACCGGAGAACGCGAATTGTTGCCTATTCTAAAAATATACACTAATATCCTGTATCGCTCCATGACCTCTGATTAAACCAACGAACGGTGTGTTCAACCGCTTGGTAGGTATCGTTCATCTGAAATTATCCTGCCATTTGCGCTACATAAACTTACAGCTATTACCCCCCGTAAACTTTTTTGGTGAAACTACCAAAAAAGTTTACGGTGAAACTACCAAACCACGTATCTCGTTTGCGGTGTTTAAAAATCTCCGCTCACATTTTATTTTTTTGAAGTAGACCAAATCAATATCAATCCTTGAAATTTTCACAGAATTTTCTCCGCACGAAGAGGAAAAATCACGGAAATTTTCAAGACTGGACGTTAAGTAGCTTTTCATTTAAAAAATAAAGTATGACAGGAAGTCTGCGACGTCGCAAACCGAGATACGTGGTTTGGTAGTTTCACCGTCGATATGCAATAATATACCGGAGAATGCGAATAGTTACCGATTTGAAAAACTGACACTCAAAACGCTCCATGAGGTTTGATTCGACTGTTACTCCATCATTTTCTCCCTTAGTCTGTAGGAACCACTCATTTCAACCAATAGGATTGCTCCATACTCCCTGTGTAATCTTTGCGTATCAATTCCATGGTAAAAATTGGCAGTAGAATCTGTGTTCCAAAATACCATAGACTTAAAGCCGGCTGTAAGATTTCCAATAGCTTCTGTAGCCGGCTGTACAATTTCTTATAGCCTTTTATAGCCGATGGCGACTAAGCACTAGCCAGACGATAAAGTTTATGCTAAGCGTTACTAAATACGGATCCTAGGACTTGGTGAGTTTTTGGACTACCGCTCTCTTTTTGTGCCGTAGTATCTTGATTTATTTTGCGAGGAAAGCTCCGTACTTTTGAAGGACGCCTGCCATTCCTAATATGTTGGAGCGCCTTCAGTTTCGTATGATACTGTGCAATACTTCTGGTGTGAAATAGTTGCTTCAAGCGCCGTGGTACGCTGCGGCGGCGCGGCGGGCGGGCAGCCAGCGCGAAACGCGCATTGGCGCCTACAAACCTAACAGTGATACTTCACGCATTGCGCAATGCGTGAAGTATCCTTGTTAGGTTTGTAGGCGCCAGTGCGTCGCCGCTCCGCTTTGTGTTAGGCTCTAATATTTAATCTCGCGGAGTCAGCGTTTTTCAACTCATGATTCTGAAATGTTTGCACACTCTGTATGGATTATTCTCATTTTAATTGATGAAGAAAAAGTGTGTTTTAAAGGAAAATACAATGCGTGTTTTGTAAACATTAAGGTAGTTCCGTAAAAAACTTAATGATTTCCAAAGCACACGAATTTCTACACAATTTCTTATGGCCTTTTATAGCCAATGGCGATAAAGTGTAAAGCCCGGCGATAGAAACTATAGCCCGACTGTATACTTTTTTATAGCTTCGTATAGCCCGGCTATATGATTTGCTCCGCTTTCTACAGCCAGCTATATGATTTTCCATAGCCCTCTTTAGTCGGCCATAAGAACTCCTATGGTATTTTGAAACGCAGCTCCTATCGCCAATTTTTACCAGGGTTCTCCATCAATTTCATCACTCAACCCGCAGGTAAAAAAATGTCATAAATCTAACACAGAATGCGTCCAATTTGGGTGGTGAGAGAGCTTGCGATTAGCCTGTGATGGTTGGAGTTGAACCTCACCTCAGCTCACCTACGGTTGGCGGCTTAGCGGAAGCTTTTTTAGGTGTTCTAGTTATTAAACCTTCTTCAAATAATACATATTGATTTTACGGGTAGGTTGGAGGCAGAGACGCATGCAGTCGATTTGAGGCAGGAAGCACAGAGCGTCAAGTTGGAATCACTGTATCGATAGCTTGGAACCATGGTCTCTCCTCCGAAATTTCGAGAGAGAACAGACGCGTGCATAGGATGTATTTTCGCGCCGGCGCACAGTGGATCGAGTCCATAGGAGAGGTCGGACATGAAATTTTTGACTATAACTGCAAAATCCCACGTTTATTTCATCAAATTTTAAATTTTGAGGGATGCCCTTACAAGAAAATTGCACGACAAAACCAATGGAACCACTTTTAGAACCTCAACATTTTGTATAGACGGAGTTATAAGCTTTTAAAGTTGCCAAATTTTGTCCGACCTCTCCAATTGACTCGATCCACCGTACGACGCGGCGCTGTCGTCACCGGCAGACGTGTCACATGGCCACGTGTCCTGGCTGGTACCAATAATGCCATGCTAAGGAAACGCCGTATGAACCTTCAGGCGTTGCCAAATTTCCTTCAATTACAACCGAATTTACCGGGAAAATTGTGAATATTTTTCCTGGGCTTGGTGCCTCTCTGTTAAACGCGGTCCATTTAGTAGTCATTCATTTTTTTACGAAACGGCACTGCTCCATAGCCTATACATCTTTCAACATTATGTGGGTCTTTAGCATTCATCGAAGGTTGCTTCATGGCAATAAAACATTCGGTCATAACTGAAAAATTCGAAGGTAGCTAACCTGTTCGGATATCAGGTAATACTTGCCGATAACCGAGATGTCATTGAAATTAACGCCTCGTAGATTTGTTGACGTCATAACTTGACATGAAGAGAAAATTTGGGGAACCGGAAAGCTTTCTTTGGACGTACACTTGGAGGAATGATTTTAAATATGAAGTGGAAAAATCAACAACAGACCAAGAAATACAGTTCGCCAGTTTTCCTTCGAAGAACATAAAATAAAGGGAAGAGAACTGAAGGAGTTCGCGATTGAGGGGCTTGGAGCACAAGGCACACAAGTGCCGTTTTTGCTTTTTCAAGAAATACGAGCTTAATGTTTCAAAATTACATGGAGCCTCATAGCGGAAAAACTCACTTTTTGATGATTTAAAGTTGGAATTTAGTCGTGAATTTGTCTCAGAATTAATTTTTCAAATTAATTTTAGTTGATTTCATGAATGTCTCAATTATTTCAAAAACTGCACTTATGCGCCTTGTCTTGCAAGCTCCTCAATTTCTTCGCATCCGCTGTCGATAGATAGTGCTAAAAATCATCATTTTTTCCATCTAACCAAGTGTAAAATGTGCACATTTTTTTGCATATCCTAGTAACTTTGTTTTCGACGTTGCAAATTTTTTAACGCTATTTTTCTATTTTAATTGAAATTTTCTGGAAATTTTCATTGAATCACAAAGAAATTAACCAAAACATACAACCATTTTGCAAGGGAGTGCTTACATTATCAAGGGAAATTTGGCAACATAGCAATACTCCCATCTGGCTTTGACCTCCTCAAATATGCGACGCAAAGTCTGCCCCGTCACAAATTGAGATGCGTGTTTTTAGACATTTTACCGTGGATACCTACTCAAAAATGTGAAAACACGGCACACAATGAATCCAGTCAATGAAAGAGGTCGGACATGCCATTTGCGACTAAAACTGCAAATTTTGAAGTTTATTTCATCACATTTCTAATTTTAAGGGATGTTTTCAGAAGAAAATTTCACGAGGAAACCACTGGAACCACTTTTATAACCTCAAAATTGTGTATAAACGGAGTTATAACCTTTGAAAGTTTCCGAATTTTGTCCGACCTCTCCCATTGACTCGATCCGCTGTGCGGCAGTGGAGACACGAGATTATCCAGTCTCACCGTTGGCGTTGTCCGATGAATGCACGCTAATTGCCCACCGTGCTCCAGGACCGGGGAAAAAAGTAACGAAACGTAAAAAAATGATCCAGCGGCGGCGGCTTATCAGTAATTAGTGAATTGTTTGTTCTGCTCCTCCTAGCTCCTCCCCGCATTGCGCTCTGCTATATTGACTCTCGACATGAGCCCATTTCACGGGTCCCCGCTCCATGCACAGTACCGGGAGACCGATAATCCCAGTCGGGTGATCCACACGAGGTTTTTAACGCCGACACGAAATATGCTTGTTCCAGAAATGTGAAAATTTCGGTGAATTTTATCATTTTTTCCCTTAGCCCCCTCCTCCTCAAAGTGCATCCACCCCATCTGCGACAGCTCCCCCCTCTCCCCTCCTCACTTGTTTACCCGGAATGCCATTGACATTTCTTATTGTGAGCTATGGATCCATGTTTTGCGTAGGGAAAGACGTAGAGATCTGGAAACGCTGAATTTTTCAGGTGAGTGAGAGTGTACTTAATTTGATCGTATTTATGCTAAAAGGACCTATGTGCAAAGGGTTTACGTAACATAGTTCCTTTTAGCATAAATACGTCCATTTGTGTGGAACGGTTGCAGCCAGATCTATATCCATGACGAAAATGCATAACCATGTATTTCCATTGCGGCATTTTAAAATTTCCGGTCCTTATTCTTTAATTTTTCGAAGGGATTCAAGCCAACTTTACAGCTTGAAATTTATCTTATAATTTATACTTTACTATAATATTCTGCTATTAAAGAAGAAAAATCAAAGATAGAGTCAAGCAATTACGTTGACAAGTTTTCAGAAGAAAAATCAAGTATGACAGGAAGTCTGAAATGTCACAAATGCAGGTATGTGGTTCCACACTTCGCACATCGATATGATACTACATGTGTGAGTTGTCACGCGAAAAAGAGTTGTCGACACCAACATGATGTCATATTCTTCATGAAAGAGGTTGTTTTTTTCCAAATTGATTCGGCAAATCGGAATTTGAGTTCTGGAACAGAAACCCAAATGTCGCGAAGGGTAAGGTGCCAAAAGTTCGGTTTATTTTGCGCCACCAGAGTGCCTTATTTGCCGTTCTGCAAAAATGATGTTAAATCAAATATAACTGAAATCACCGTATATCACAGCTTGGAGTAGCTGATTCTGTATCATTCGGCGCCGATAGCACCATTCATCAAAAATGAATCATGGGAGATTACTTTACTCCTACATATCAGTCATTTATTTTTTCATGTTAGGTGAAATGCTATCTGCTTTTGAAAGATAGCAATTGTAACATTTCAACTTTTTCTCCCGCTGAATGTTTACAGCTATGCTGATTTTCTCTTGCTTACATTCCGTTTCTTCTTCAATAGCTCGAGAGCATTTAATTTTTGCTCTAAAGTCGCTCCGTTTCAGCGGTTTATAACTAGGAGGTTTTAATTAATTTGGCACCCTGTTACGCCTCACAGTGGATTGAGTCAATAAGAGAGGTCGGACATGATATTTTTGATTAAAACTGTGATGTTTATTTCGTCACAATGTCAACTTTAAGGGGGCTTTTGAAAGAAAATTTTACGAGAAAACTAATGAAACCACTTTCAGAACCTCAAAATTGTGTTAAACGGAGTTATATGCGTTTAAAGTTTCCAAATTTTGTCCGACCTCACCTATTGATTCGACCCACTATGCGCCTGTCCTTTCGTATACTTAAAAACGAAGCAATTCGGGTGAAAATAAACCTTTGCATAGAGAGGAGGCGATCATCTGTTTACAGCGAACCCAGTTCCTTTGTCCTAAAAATGTTGGAAGTCAGAGAAAGAAATGTTTGTCGAAAAATGTTAAGGTTCATCGCGAACGTATACAGCCATCTCTCACCCAATGAGGGGTGGTTCGTCTTGTGTATAGAACTATGGACCCCTTCGCAGATATCGTTCCTTAAAATTATGATTTCAAGACTCCTATTTTTTTAAGATCTGCCCAATTCAAAGCAAAGACACTGAACGAGGTGTGCTCAAGATAAAGAGCACTGTCATGTATTTTTTTCTTCTTTTTTTTAATCAGAATAACTCAAATTTTACATCACGTAGGTACGAAGGTACTTCAGTTGCGACAAGAAATATCCAGATATTCTCGTCTACGCATGTCAAAGCTCTTCAATATTGATTTAAATTGCCAAAAAGTAATCAATGCTTTTTTAACTCGAGATATTATTCAGAAATAACGTGTATGCCATTAGTTTCTCCATGCAGGTAGGTTTTTTTATGGACGAGCCCGAATTAATAGTTATCCTTATGGCAAAATAAAGTCCAAATTTACTCTTCCTTCACCAGAAGTTTGCGGGTCGATCGCACTTTCGGAAATAGCCAAGCCTGTACGGTTTCATTTGAACCAATTGATTCTCTTTTTTGTACTTCTGCTTAGGACAAATTCAATTTTCGATCTGATGAAAATATGCGCATATCTCAATCTCATGTTCACTTTTCAGTTTAAACAAGAGCCATATCACGGCAGTTGTACAAACACACACGTTTCGTGGTTCTGACCGACTTCCCAATTTTATTGCCATAAGGCTGCTGTGGCACGATTTTTCATGCGATAGCACGAAAACGACATAAATTTATGACCCGAAAAACATCGCTAGGCAGTTTGAAAAATCAGTGACAGTGACGTACTCAGAGCTATGTCATTACATCTTCATTTTTTCCTGGAGAGATGGACGGTTTTTAACAGGGAACGCCAGATTCACTTCGCAGTGATAAAAATTTAGTCCACTATCTGACAAAGACGTGTTTGGTAATATTCTCACAATACGGCGGTGAACCCAGGATATTCATTAAAATGTATGTATTCATGCTTCAGTTTTTTGGAAGTAAAATATGTGACTGTTTAGGCGGAAAAAGGAACCGCGAGTTATTGATACCAGACTACAAAGGAAAGTTCTACAAATATTCGGAGACAAAGACTCTCAAATTTGTAAAACTAAACCGAGGTCAGGGTGGTTTGAGGAAAGTTCTACAAATATTCGGAGACAAAAACTCGCAAGTTTGTAAAACTAAACCGAGGTCAGGGTGGTTTGAGGAAAGTTCTACAAATATTCGGAGACAAAAACTCTCAAGTTTGTAAAACTTAACCGAGGCCAGGGTGGTTTGAGGTTCGCTGTATTGAGGACGTATTGTTTTCAGAGGAAAAAAAAACTATTGAAAAGTCTTATCTGCCACGTTCAGAGTTAGATATGTTGTTACATATTTTGAGCTCATAAAGGGAAATTAACAAAAAATCTACAGAGCACTGTTGTTTTGTTCTCTATTCTGAAAAAAAGATGAGTGAATATTTGCAACAATGCAATTGGAACTATGCAATTCTTAACTTAGACCATCGATATCCTGAGCAAATTAGGTACTACACTGGGAAAAAAGTTCTGCTCATAGGGCTACTGCACTCTCTTTGGTACACCTACAGAAGTTTCCGTTACGTGGACAGAGCATTCTGTAATCACGACCTAGTTTCTGTTCTGACAGCAGAAAAGTTCTGTAAATATAACAAATAAAGTGCAGGAGCCCTGTGAACGGAGGATTCCATTGTCAGCACCCTGATAAAAATTGGCGATAAGAGCTGCGTTTCAAAATACCATAGGAGTTCTTATAGCCGGCTAAAAAAGGCCACAGAAAATCACATAGCTGCCTGTAGAATGCGGAGAGAATCTTACGGCCGGGCTATACGAAGCTATAAAAAATTATACAGTCGGGCTATAGTTCCTATTGCCGGGCTTTACACTTTATCGCCTGGCGGTTGCTTTTTCGCCATCGATTATAAAAGGCTATAAGAAATTGTGTTGAAATTCGTGTGCTTTGGAAATCATTAAGTTTTTTACGGAACTACCTTAATGTTTACAAAACACACATTATATTTTCCTTTAAAACACATTTATTTTCATCAATTAAAATGAGAATAATCCATACAGAGTGTGCAAACATTTCAAAATCATGAGTTGAATAACGCTGACTCCGCCAGATTAAATATTAGAGCCTAACACAAAGCGGAGCGGCGACACACTGGCGCCTACAAACCTAACAGGGATACTTCACACATTGCGCAAAAGCGGAGCGGCGACACACTGGCGCCTACAAACCTAACAGGGATACTTCACACATTGCGCAACGCGTGAAGTGTCCCTGTTAGGTTTGTAGGCGCCAATGCGCGTTTCGCGCTGGCTGCCCGCCTGCCTGCCGCGCCGCAGCGTGCTACAGTAGCACGAGACACACACAGAGGTGGTGGCACGAGACACACACTCTATTTCACACCAGAGGTATTGCACAGTATCATACGAAACTGGGGGCGCTTTAATATATTAGGAATGGCAGGCATCCATCAAGAGTACGGAGGTTTCCTCGCAAAAATAATCATGATACTACGGTCCAAAAAGAGAGCGTTAGTCCAAAAACTCACTAAGTACCAGCATCCGTAATTAGTAACGTTTAGCATACACTTTATCACCTGGCTGTTTCTTAATCGCCATCGGCTATAAAAGGCTATAAGAAATTGTGTAGCCGGCTGTAGAAGCTATTGGAAATCTTACAGCCGGCTGTAGGTCTATGGTATTTTGGAACACAGATTCTACTGCCAATTTTTACCAGGGCATCGACAATTTTTTTTGCGTGTAAAAGTAGACACTACGTACGTGGATTTGACACTCGGGATTTTCCTAAAGGCAGGTTCTCCTAAAAAAATTTTAGTGGAAAAGTACCTTTCCGTCTTTTTTCCCAAAATTTCCCCTCACAGTCGTCATGTTTTTCACCGCGTGTCATCAACGAATGTCGTGCACTACCTTTTTATGCAAGAGCGTTTGCGTGCCAAAGCGACGCAGGGTAGAGTCCTACACTGTTTCGCGCAAAAATATTAATTTTTGACGCAGAAACTTATTTTTTTGCCTATTTATCACCCTGCCGAGCTCGTCAGCTTAAAATCGTCCCAGTGTTAGTCCCGCGTTAGTGCACGCCGTCACGATTGTTCAGAACGTAAGCATAAAGTATTTTACCACGTCTATTCTATTTTGAATTTATTAAAGTAGTTTTTTTTTAAAAGTCTGAGGCCTTCAAGTTTCAATGCCACCAAACCTTTTTAATATAACCACACTAAAAAAATGATGTCTGCTGTCGAGAAGTTGCACGTTCTTCACTTATGAACCGTGAAAGTCCGCAATCACGTTTCTCGTTTTTTGCGGTGTCTCAAAATCTCCGCTTCTATTTCGTTTTTTAAAGGAGAGCACATCGACATCATTCCTTGAAATTTTCGCAGAATTTACTCCGTATACAGAGAAGAAAAATGACGGCAGTTTATAAGAATTGCCGTTGAGTATAGGGTTCCGTTCAAGTGTGACAGGCCGTCTGCAAGATGTCGCAAATCAAGATACGTGATAGCGGGCTTTCACAGTCGTCATGTTCCATGTCTAAAGGAAAACTAACGAAAATATTCTGTCAAATTTCCCGCAAATTTCCCTCATGAATCCAAAAATATTAATGAGGAATTATAATGAGATATTTTCTGATTGAAGAAATAAAACATATTAGCAGCAGATTTTTACATTTTTCCACAGAGATACGCGATTTCCGATTTCAGCATCGGCATAGTTGGACTGCATTTTGCGATTTGGAATTATAAATTCTGGCTCATCTGGAAAAACACTTATGTGCATAAGGAAATTAATGGCACATACACGTTGTTTTTTAAAACCGGGCCAGAATTTGTTGTTCTGAATTGCAAAACGTAGCCTAAGAATCATAAAACGAACGATTTATGAAATTATTATACATCGGAGGTTACTTTAAACGTATGCGATTTTTCGACATTACGTATAGAAATATCTATACTAGGCCACTGTAGACGAGGTACGAATTAAAGCATCTCGTTGAGTGAATGTTTTCGCTTTGAATATTTACGGAGAAAACGACTGACGCAATCGGAAGTTCGAGAATCTACTCCATAGCAGGATGATCTCATATGCACTCAACACTGATCAAATGGAATACAATTAATATCATCATCACGCCACTTGTATTTATTCCTTTTAAACTTTTTTTTCTTTTTCCTCCTTCCAACTTTTACTATACCAACGTGGAACTCGCGATTGGCGGATTCGCGAATAACGGGTGACGTCAACACACATTTTTCAACTTTAAATATAGCTATCTTTGTGTTGCGGCTGGCACCCAATGGACCTCTTCATGTGCCAGGAATTTGCGATTTACGTACAAATCTGTAAAATTTCGCGAGAAACATGATGGTGCCACTAGTTTTCTCTGAAACAAACTCCAAATCTAAGAAAAAGCTCTCAAAGTCGAGGCCGTAATGGAGGGGATATCCGACGCTATCCTGAGAGTCCTCTCATATCAAGTCAAACTCTCCATGCAAAGATAGGGAGCCAATACATTAGCAGGGTTGCCACTTTTTTGGGACTTACAAACTAAAACCACCGCGACCCTTCTAATGCATTTACTTATTATCTTTGCACGGAGAGTTTGACTATAGTTATAGAAGTGGGCTCTCAAGGTAGCGTGGGTTGGGTGTCTCCTATCTCCTCCTATACGGCCTCAACTTTGAAAGCTTTTTTTAAGTTTTGGAGATCGCTTCAGAGAAAACCAATGGCATCATCTTGTTTCTCGCTAAATTTCACACAGGGAACAGTACTTGCATCGTAAATTTCGGACACACGCATGATCTTTCTTCGGCCTTAATTTTTAGAGCTTCTCAGGAGATTGAGGCAGGTCCTCTCACTGCAGGACTACCAATAGAAGAATCCACGAGACTACAGAAAAATTACTCCTGCGCCATTACTGCTAAGGAAAAACGCCGTATGAACATTCGAGAGTTGCCAAATTGTCTCCGATAAAATGTTTATTTTTGAGGAATATGAATACTTTCCTTTAAAATTTTCAGGAGCGTTAGGTGAAATTGCGTTCAAAATTATCTGAAAAATGGAAAGGAAAATATTCATAATTTTACCGGGGAATTCGTGTTTTAGCAAAGAAAATTTGGCAATACCTGAAAACTCATACGGCGTTTTTCCTTAGCTCGGCAGAGCACTGCACCGTTTTTCAACTCGATACGCGAATAATACAAGCGTTTATATTGCATCGACTCATGAGCGAACACGCATCTTGTGCATGCGCATATGGCGGGAGCATAATTTCGTGACGCGAGCGGGTACTTTACCGTGCTAGGAAAAAACGCAGTATGAACACTCAGGCGTAGTCGAATGTATCCCGATAGCATTTTCATTCCCGTGAAAAACCTGGAGACACTAAAACAATCACGAATAAAATTTCCTATAGACGAAGAAAAACATTCACCCGTGTTTCCACAAAATTTGTGTTTTATCGGAAGGAAGGCAAACTCGGAAGCAGTTCCCACTGCGAAAATTCTCTGTCCGGAAATTGAAGTTTGCATGACCCAATGCCAGGCTCTCTCAGTCGTTTTGGTCATTTCGGCCGGCATCGGACCATTGACTCTGTGACACGTATTCGTACCGATGCCCTTATTCTGAAATCGCGTACATCTCGATTAGTCAGGTTTCAATCCGCTCATGTTTCTCCTCACAAGTATTCGCAAGTATGTATAATGTACCACCTCGATCTCTCCTAATCAATACCGTATTTGAGGGGCTTGGAGGACAAGACGCATAAGTGCAATTCTTGCTAATTCAAAAAATACGTGTGCAAAATTCATAGAGTACATAGAGTCGTAATGTAAGTGGGAGAGCTGGCGCCATGTTCTGCTCGACGAGTTGCGAGCCCGGTGTGCGGGGTCACTTTTTCGATACATATTCGATCCAAAATGGTGGTGTGGAATATGGCCGGGTCCCCCTGTATCGCAAACAATCGATTATGTATCGAAAAAGGGATCCGGCGCCGCACAGGAATCTCGGAATTCGGGTCCTGGAAATTGCTTAGAAGTTGCGCCAGCTCTCCCACTTACATTACGACTCTACGTACTCTATGGCAAAATTACATGAAGCCCTATGGCGGAAAGGAAATTAACACTCACTTTTTGATGCTTTAAAGTTGGATTTTCGTTGTGAATTTCAGCAGAAAATACTCTCAAACTAGTTTTAGTTGAGTTCACGAAAATCTCGATTTTTTCAAAAAGCGCACTCAATGCGCCTTGACCTCTGATCCCTTCATTTCTAATTGAACGATTTTGAAACTGCGGGAATACGTATCCTCATTGCACTGTTTCAAAGTTTTTGCTTCAACTTCATTTTTGTAAGAGATTGTTATTTTTTTAAGTTTTCAAAGAATTTTCTCAATTGGACGAAGAAAAAGCGATTGATATTTGTTATAATGGGAAACAGAATAAGTGGGTAGAAAACCTCATTTTTAAAGACAAAATACACCTGGTCTTCGATGTAAGGAAATAGTTTTGCTTGATCGTTCTCCACTTTACAGATGTTTTCCCTTGATTACTGTTTTCGAGTGAAAGAATCTTATTTTGAAATTAGAATGAAACATTTTTTTTTTATTAAAGAATGTGTGTAGCGTTAAAATTTCAACTATTTTCCGAAGGAGGCCCCTCAGACCCTCTCCCGGGCTGGAGCGAACAGAATATACCCCTCGGTGATACGGGGGCTTGCGGGCTGATTATTGAGATTGATAGACAAAACGATAGATGAAGACGACACACTGAAAATAAAGCGATCCTATTGGTATGGAGGCGAGTGATTGCAATAGACAGAGGAGGTAAGTATAATAGACTAAACGTCAACCCGCGAGAGACCCTATATAGTTGGTCCTTCCTTATCCCCCATTGTCTATGAAAACTAACTGTTGCTGTTGCAACCAATATGATAGCTCCATGTCCCCTATGTCCTCTTTGTCTATAGCTTTGTCTATCAATTTCAATAATCAAACCGCAGGTCCTCCCTATTAACATAACCTGGTATCGTGTATGGATAGAATGTGTTACAAGGACACGAAAAACACTGCTTTATTGTAAAGCTCGCACTTAATCTCCTCACTGTCTTCTTTTGTTCCAGAGACAAGTAGACATGTATCGGCATGTACCCTCGAGTACAACTGCGTCGAAAGATTTTGATTTTCACTGCATTCGGTTTCGTCTGTTATGTGATTTGGATCTGCTGCCTGCGGCGCCTAGCACAAAATTCCGACACAAAATTGTACATTTCAGATGATTATAACGCACAAATCGCTGACACAAACGCACTTACTCATGGATTCGAGCCCGCTGATCCAGAAAGCAAAACTAAAGAATTGCAGGTTAGTCAACTAAGGAGATCCATTTTTTAAAATCTGCTGGAAATAACTCAATAATATAAAAAAGTTGATATTAAAAATTCATAGTTCTCAAAACTTCTACGTTGAAAAATTGTATCTGGAGCTAGGATCTGATTTACAGCCTCATCATGAAGCCCCTTCTTTTTTTCCTCCTGTTTTTCTTTCTCTCTTTTCGTTGGACGTATTTCTGTCAAACGGAACTATGTGCAATAAGACGTGAACCCTAAAACCCATAGGAATATATGCATAAAAGAGCTCACGTCATAATGCACATAGTTCCGTTTGGCAGGAATATGTCCAATTTTTCCCCATACGTAGTATTTCCTCTTGTTGGCTCAGAGACTTACAGTCAAATCAATAAGCAATCCGCACCGTAATTATAAGAAAATACTACAATTAGTGGGCTCAGTGAATTATTTCAATAGAACCTCATAATGTAATATTTTTGTTTTGCATTATTCCCATCTTTTTTGCTCATTTTATGTGACAAAAAATGCCTCAAATTGCATTTAAAAGGAGTTAAAATTTTAAATTTTTACGAAGGGCCGCTATATGAACTGGGAAAATTCACCAACAAACCCATGCACCTCCTCTTCTTCGGAAGGGTGCAGATTTAGTTTTAGAAACGTTAAAATTGGTGTAACAGTTAATGTACCAGAATCTCCTGTGAAAATGATAACTTAACCATCACCGTACCATAATTATCATCAGCTAATACCAACTAACACATAGACCGCGTTTATCAGAAAGGAACCAAGTCACATCAGCTATTGCTACATTTATTTGCGGGCAAGTTAGTTTTTTACAAAAGAAAGTATGTGTGGATTCCTTTAAACATGTTACGGGCTTTGCATCGTACTATGCCGAGAATTCCCTGAACGTTGCACCAAAATCCGCACAACCGTTTTCATGTAATAATTAAATTGCCCAATTAAATTTGGCAAAAGTTAATGTGGCTTGGCCCCTCTCTGCTCAACGCGGTCCAACTAGTGGTTTGCATTTTGCCAGGAAGAGTCACTATTTATAGCTCATCCATAAAAAACCTCTATCCGCATGAAACAACCAATGACACCTGTGTTGCTTTTGAAACGTCAGAAATAATGGTTTCTTTCTTCTAAAATGTACCTCGATTGATACTCATGAAAATTGACCGTGTTTTAGTGATGGTCAATCGATCATTTTTTTGAGGGACCGAGACAAAGCCTAAATAATTGTGAGTAAACAGAGCGCGATGAAAAATGAGTTTCAAAATTTTCCATGACTGGTGTTGCGGTACATTGAATTCCAGCTTCTATTTCACATTCCGACCGTAGAATAAAAAATCCCATTACTCCGAAATAATCTTAGATTATAATCTGAATGATTCATAATTGTGTGGATAAGAAAAATACGGACGATTGAAAAGTATGATGTCGACTACGGTTTCTCATTTCAAAAATAAAAATGACTGGAAGTTTGCAAGCTGAGTTAACTGTTTTTGTACACGTAGTTTTTCGGCCAATATGCAATTCGTGCGAAAAGCACGAAAACGCCAGTTCACGGAAGCAAAATAAGTTATACTTGGTTGGCGCACCAAAAAGTTCCTTCAAAATGGCGAGTATGCAGTACAGCATAACATCCGTGTTCGAATAGTTATCGCCCGGGAGCCTACTAGAACTCGGAGGGCTAAGCTCTAAGCAATGATATTAGCCCTTCAATTTTCCTGTTTCCGGTACCGTGGACCCTTTTCCCGTCGACGGTTGAATTCAAGTTAAATTCTATGTAATTAAAAAATTACAGCTCGTTTGAGTATGCAAGCCATTTTTCAATTCCTTGAGCAACCATTGGCGGATCCAGAAAATTTTCAACATTGTCTTTTTTCCAACCTATTATATGGAAATATATCGATCCCTGGAGGGGCTAGGTGCTCCCTCGAGAATCGATTATTTAGCATAGCTTTAAATGGAGGAAATCCGGTGTTGCCAAATTGCTGGATCCATCTCTGTGATCGAAAGTGCTAAAAATGGAGATGTTGCATGTGTAAGGAATTTGCGATTTGACTGTTGATTCTTAAGTAAAAGTTCTCGAGAAACACGATGGTGCTACTGGTTTTCTCTGAAATCAACTCCAAAGCTCAAAAAAAGCTCTCAAGTTGAGGCCAAAATGGAGGGGATATCCCACGCTATCCTGAGAGTCCACCTCTACATAAAAAAAAAAAAACTTTCTGTGCAAAAATAGGGAGCAAGTGCATTAGCAGGGTTGCCGTGTTTTCAGTTTTGGAGTCCCCAAATAAAGTAGCAGCTCTGTCAATGTATTTGCTCCATATCTTTGCATGGAGAGTTTGTCTTGATGTAGACGTGGACTTTCAGGATAGCATGGGATATCCCCTTCATTTTGGCCTCAACTTGAGAGCTTTTTTTGAGCTTAGGAGTTGATTTCAGAGAAAACCAGTGGCACCATCGTGTTTCTCGCGAACTTTTACGTAAAAATCAACAGTCAAATTGCAAATTCCTCACACTTGCAACATCTCCATTTATCACTGCATCGGTTAGTATTTCAACATTCCCCACATCTGATACTTGCATGCGTCTCCAAATCGGTCATTGAGAACTAACATGTCATTCGTGTTTAGCAGTAGCATAGAGCACATAGAGTCGTAATGTAAGTGGGTGAGCTGGCGCCACTTTTAAGCATTTTCCAGGTCCCGAATTCCGAGACTCCTGTGTGACGCCGGGTCACTTTTTCGATACATAATCGATTGTTGGCGATACAAGGGTACCCGGCCATCCGATGTAAACAAAGAAGATAGGAATCACCACGTATTCCACACCGCCATTTTGGATCGAACATGTATCGAAAAAGTGACCCGAACTCGGCGCACACCGGGCTCGGAACTCGTCGAGCAGAACATGGCGCCAGCTCTCCCATTTACATTACGACTCTATGTACTCTATGAGCAGTACTAGTAAGTAAGTAAGTAGTAACTCTAGGACCTAACCTCAAAATTACCGACATGTCCGTACTCACGCACGTAGTTCTTTTTCCATAAGCTTTCGTAACACTTGAACGGCTCCTATGTCCCGGGATTGCTCACTGATTTTGATTTTGGGGTTTGGAGCAGGAGGCGGTGACGAAGAAACCGGAGCCGCCCCGACGGCCATGGTTCATGACGGACGGGGAGGTCTGGCCGGTGGCGAGCGGGGCGCGGCGGAACGTCTCGCTGATGCCGGGGGAGGCGCCCGGGGAGGACAGGATCGCCAACCAGCTCATGTACGTGCCTCACAACTACGAGGAGGTCCGCCAGAGCGGGGCCCTCAAGAAGATCCTCCTCTACCACGGCGAGACCTGGAGCTGGAACGTGGAGCTCGGCGCCGGCTGGTTCAAGCGCAACAAGTGCCCCGTCGACACCTGCTCCATCACCACCACCATCGCCGAAGCCAACGCAGCCGATATCATCATCTTCAAGGACCAGTACATTCCCTCCGTCTATCGCCGACCACCCCACCAGGTTCGTCACACTTTCCATTCGGGAAAAATTGATATTGCTGATGTAACAATTTTGTAGTCGGACGTATTTATGCGAAATGGAAGTATGTGCAAGTGAAAAGATGAGATGTGCTCGTTAGTGATCGGGCCATAAGAATGAATGGGACTTAAAGCGCCAGTGACGTCAGCGGTGAAGACTTGGCACGAGGAGGCGCGAAACGAGCGACGACGGCTAGGTCGTCAGTTTTCAACTCATGAGCCCTGTCCACAACGCTCTTGTCACATACTCACGGCTCACGAGTTAGCGCTCAGTTCCTTTTGATTTAATAGAAAATCCTGTTTTTCCTTTTTCTCAAAAGGAACTATATCCACTGACCACATTGTTTCTTATGCAGCTTTTACGAGCACACCCCATCTTTCCACTTGCGCATAGTTCTTTTTTGCATAAATGCGTCTAGCTTAAAAAAATGTCCGACATGTTTCAATGAAGATTTTACAATAGCAAAATGCTAATTTAACTACCCCCCTGGGTTCGATTAGCTTTCCACTATTGTAGAATTTACATTTGAAATATGTTGGACATATATTTTAACAATTTAATTGTTCAATTAGCAATCCATTTTTTGCCGTGAATAACACAAATCAAAAGTCTTTCAGATAGTCGAGTTCCTTTACAGAAGTAACATTGTCACCTTCCAGCCAAAGTATCAGAAGCGCCATGCGACGTTTTAAAATTTTCGCCGCCGTTTTATTTTTTTACAGAGAAATTGTCGGTTGATTCTGTTTGAAAATTTCATTGAATTTAATCGGCAGCGCAAAGAAAATTCAGTGAAATTTTCGGACAGCTTTAGTGAACAATTTCTCTGTGAAAAAATAAAGTGGCAACGGAAATTTTGAAACGTCGTTTTGCGTTTGTAATACTTTGGCCGGACGGTGACTACATATCGATGGTAAAACTCCCAAACCACTTATCTCGGTTTGCGTCGTAGCAGACTGCACGGCGCAGCCAGCACGAAACGCGCATTAGCGCCTACAAACCTAACAGAGATACTTCACGCATTGCGCAATGCGTGAAGTATCCCTGTTAGGTTTGTAGGCGCCAGTGCGCCGCCGCTCCGCTTTGTGTTAGGCTCTAATATTTAATCTCGTGGAGTCAGCGTTTTTCAACTTATGACTCTGAAATGTTTGCACACTCTGTACGGATTATTCTCATTTTAATTGATGAAAACAAATATGTAGTAAAGGAAAATATAATGTGCGTTTTGTAAATATTAAGGTGATTCCGTACAAACATAAGGATTTACAAAGCACACGAATTTTTACACAATTTCTTATAGCCTTTTATAGCCGATGGCGAAAAAGCAACTGTCAGGCGATAAAGTGTAAAGCCCGGCGATAGGAACTATAGCCCGGCTGTATAATTTTGTATCGCTTCGTGTAGCCCGGACGTATAATTTTTTCCACTTTCTACAGCAAGCTGTATGATTTTCTATCGCCTTCTTCAGTCGGCTATAAGAATTCCTATGGTATTTTGAATCGCAGCTCCTATCGCCAATTTTTACCAGGGTTTACAGACTAGCTTCTACTGACTGGTGCTTTGATAACCTTAGAGTCCCTTTATACTGAGAGTCAAGACAACACCCCTCATGGAGTCACAAACGGGAATAAAGATTACACAAATTGAACGTTTTTCGTAATCTTTGATCGGCTCATTCTTAAATTCCTTTCTCCGTTCCTTCTCTCATTCCGTTTGTTCCTCGTAGAACCCGAAATTCCTCGGTTCATTCCAGATTATAATCTTTGCAATTGGTGAAAATGTAATCTTTATTCCCGTTTGTGACACTGTGAAGGCCTAAAATCCGGTTAACCAATCAGAAATGGATTCGCATTGTCTTGACTCTCAGTATAAAGGGACTCTAGATAACCTGCATCATAATATTTCCCCCCCTTTAATTTCAGGTATGGATGCTGTACATGTTGGAGTGTCCGTACCACACGCAGCACATGCGGCACAATGACGTGTTCAACTGGACGGCGACCTACCGTCACGACAGCGACATAGTGGCGCCCTACGAGAAATGGGTCTACTTCGACGAGAAGGTGCGTCAGAAGGAAAAACCGGACGAGAACTACGCTCGACAGAAGAGCAAGCTGGTCGCCTGGTTCGTCTCCAACTGCGCGGCCAAGAACCGGCGCCTGGAATACGCTTACGAGCTCCAGAAACACATCCAGGTCGATATGTACGGCTCGTGCGGGCTCCTCAAATGCCCCCGCAGCGAAAAGTGCTTCCAAATGCTCGATACAACCTACAAGTTCTACCTCGCTTTCGAAAATTCAAACTGCGTTGACTACGTCACCGAGAAGCTCTTCGTCAACGGGCTTCAGTGAGTTCCTCGTTTCCATTAAGTTTTAGCGTAGGATCTAGGTTACCTTGGCAATTTATCCAGAGAGTGGGTAGTTGTAAGCAAACCAATTTTATCTACAGGATGATCCAAAAGTCCCGCGCCACGAGCACCTGACACCCCCCTCCTCCCTTGTAACTTTTAAATGAATTGGACTGCATTTTGCAATCAGGGACCACGAATTTTAGCTCACCCACAATAGCACCTATCTACACAGTGAAACTGATGACATATCGACGGTGAAACTACCAAACCACGTATCTCGGTTTGCGACGTCGCAGACTTCCTGTCATACTTTATTTTTTAAATGAAAAACTACTTAACATCCAGTCTTGAAAATTTCTGTGATTTTTCCTCTTCGTGCGGAGAAAATTCTGTGAAAATTTCAAGGAATGATATTGATTTGGTCTACTTCAAAAAAATAAAATGCGAGCGTAGATTTTTAAACACCGCAAACGAGATACGTGGTTTGGTAGTTTCACCGTCGATATACGTTGTGTGTGAAATGAGCCAAAAATAGTAGTTCCTTGTTGTAAAATGTAGTACAATTGGACTTCATTTTGCGATAAGGAACTACAATTTCTTGCTCCTCTGTAAAAACACTTATGCGCATAGGGGAGGTTATGGTGCATACGCTTTTTGTAAACCAAGCCACATGATATAGTTCTTAATTGCAAAACGTAGTCCAACTGAGGTAGTGACTTGAATTTTTGTAAGTACTCCTGGGTCAAAGAAAACTACTTTTTGAGCCACCCAAAATTTTAACCTTGGATTACCCTATACAGAGGCAAGGGCCCGGGCCCTTGCCCTTTGCCTGCGGTGCATTTTCTCATTTTTATATCGATCTTTACATTATATCCCATATCAGAAAAAAATTATAAAAAATACTGTGAAATCAGCTCTTTAACCACTTTTAGATGAAGCAATAAAACATTACATACATAAGAGTAGCTCTCACAGCGCTCTCCGGCGCTCTGTGACGCCTAATCACCACCAAATTCGGCGACAAAAAGGTTGAAAGGTTCGCGACAGGGGGTTATGGATGAGATGAGGGAATGCACTGGGGAAAAAACACATTGGATCTAGAGTCCAGACTCTTAAAAACATCGACAAGAAAAAATACTCTTGATTCAATCAGTTTAAGCTTAAATCAAGAACCAAGCCTCTTAATTTGAGCGGATTTCCTTTTGATTTCAAGTTAAATCTAATTGAATCAAGAGTCCTTTTTCTTGTCAATGTTTTCAAAAGTCTGGACTCTAGATCCAATGTGTTTTTTTTTCCCAGTGTGCCAACTCCCTGATGGCCTGTGAGAGGACCTAGCAGTAAAACATTTCCATGCAAATCCTACATTGAGTAAATACCATTTCAAAGCGATACCGCAATGATATTTACCCCGTTTGTTGCAGACACAACGTCATTCCAATCGTGATGGGGGCCCGGCAAGAGGACTACGCCAACGTGGCTCCCTACCATTCGTACATCCACGTCGACGAGTTCGACTCGCCCAAGCACCTCGCCGAGTACCTGTACAAACTGGACGAAGATGAGGAGTTGTACAATTCCTACTTCCTGTGGAAGGGCACCGGGGAGTTCATAAACACGTACTTCTTCTGCCGCGTGTGCGCCATGATCCACGCCGACTACCCGATGAAAACGTATCGGAACATCAACGAGTGGTGGAGGGGTCCCGGCACTTGCACGAGCGGCTCCTGGAAGAAATTTAATAAGAGCGAAACCCCGCGATCCCGTATCGGTCACGTCCGTAGTATCTCCAATACACCGGTGCTTAAAGTGTGAAGCCTTATCCTGAGGCGGAATAAAAACGTTGAGTGAATTTTACCCATGGAGCGGGCAAAGGTTCCGAGTAGAACTAGATTGCATTTTGCAAAAAGGAACCACCAGCATTGCAACGATGCTATAAGATTGTGCAACATCATCTTGTGCAATAAAATTGCGGAAATTGTGAAAAACTATGAAATTTAGATAGTAATTTTTGTCTTAAATTTACAGTTTTTAGCGAGTAAAATAGAGACTATTAATGGATAATCGGGTTTTTCCTCCAAGACAAAAGAAGTTGCACAATCTTAGCAACATTGCAATGCTAGTGGTTTCTTTTTGCAAAATGCAATTCAATTTTTCAACAGAAAAATCGCGATATTTTGCAATTGAGTTGCGATTTTTTTCGCGATTTTTTGACGATAAAATCGCTTGGATCATCAACATCGAGCGATTGTCCGTGACCTTGTCGCGTTTTTTTTCTCTCTATAAAATCGCGTGCGATATAATCGACATTTTATCTCCATCGGATTGCATCTCGCAAAAATGAACCAAGAGCATTTCAGTGTTGCTAGGATTGTGTAGGATTCCGTAGTATCTCCAATAAACCGGTGCTTAAAGTGTGAAGCCTTATCCTGAGGCGGAATACAAACGCTAAGTGAATTTTACCCACGGAGCGGGCACAGGTTCCAAGTGGAATTTTCCAACAGAAAAATCGCGATATTTTGCAATTGAGTTGCAATTTTTTTTTGCGATTTTTTGACGATGAAATCGCTTGGATCATCAACATCGAGCGATTATCCGTGACCTTGTCGCATTTTTTTCTCTATAAAATCGCGTTCGGTGTAATCGAATTTTACCCACGGAGCGGGCACAGGCTCCAAGCGGAATTTTTCAACAGAAAAATCGCGATATTTTGCAATTGAGTTGCAATTTTTTTTTGCGATTTTTTGACGATGAAATCGCTTGGATCATCAACATCGAGCGATTGTCCGTGACCTTGTCGCGTTTTTTTTCTCTCTATAAAATCGCGTGCGATATAATCGACAATTTATCTCCATCGGATTGCGCATTTTGCAAAAATGAACCAAGAGCATTTCAGTGTTGCTAGGATTGTGCGACTTACATTCTTCGCCATGAGATTACCGACATCATCATGGGCCTAGCTAGGGGGGTCCTGGGGGGGGGGGCCCCCCCAGAAAAACGGGATCCTCCATTCCTCAACCCCCCGCTCTCTTCACTACGAGAGGTGGTCCCATGCCCCCCCTCCCAGAGAAATTTCCTAGCTACGCCCCCGGACATCATGCAAGAAATTAGATTTTCAAAGGTAATTTCCGTCTTAAATTATAATTTTTAGGGAGTAAAGGCATGACTTGTTCGCATGATCAGTTCGTATTTGCAAAATAAATAAGTTGCACAGTCTTAGTGACATTGGAATGCTCTTGGTTCCTTCTTGCAAAATGTAATCCAATTGATCATGAGTTCTATAATATTGTGATAAATCGTCGTCTATGGAATTGCGATTTTATTGCAAAATTATGCGATGAAATCGCAACTAATCGAAATTTTTCATCCGATAATATTGCAATAAATTAAAGTCGAGAAATTCGTGATGCACTATCCGATCAAATCTCAACTTATCGCGATCACTGCTACTTGGGGTATTGTCTCCGGTACGCGATTCTAAAGTTCACCAACGGAATCGAACAATTCCTCTTTTGGGCACAATACATTCTTTCCTAGTTGGGAACTCCTTCATAGCACTTATCGTCACCGTAAAAAAATCGATTGTGCACTATACATTAGCGAAGAGTGTATTTTACAGCACTTTTATGAAGTGAATTTGGACTCAAAAGGTCATAGAGGCTGCTACGAAGCGTAAAATGCCTTTGGATGGGAGTGCGATTGTTGCCAATTTGGGCAATTTCCACCCTTATTGCCAACCTCCCCATTAAGAGGGTCTTTGTCGAAAGAAGTTTTCTCGAATGTCTCTCGAAAAAAGCTAGTCTTAAGTAACTGAATACGACGTAATTAAAGTGAAAACGGCGAAGTGCAATCTTTTAAGCATTTTAGCCAAATAAAATGCTACCATGAGGTGCAATCTGTATAGTTGGCCTGCGTCCAACTACATTTTTCTGTTGTACCGAGTTCCTCAGAACTCGAGTTGATTGTTGTTAACCATTTAGTTCGCGACTGATTTAAACGCACAAACCCGGTCCCGCATTCTGACGCATCAAACGTTCTAACCTAATAGAATTCTATTATTAAGTGTAATTTGTTTTTTAAGAATATTTCACAAGAAAAATGAGAATGTTCTATATACACCAGAATCTGTGTCCTGGATAATGATTTGCCTTACCATTCCAGTCAGCACTTGGGCACAGCCAGCGACTATCCTCAGCACATTCTTACTTTGGAAGGCACAATTTTTTCTGTGCTCGACCACAGTCATGTGGACAGTGAAGCAAAGTGGATCAGTCTTAAGTCAATCAAGCGCACAGTGATATTCCAGGATTTTGGCTGTGTTCAGGCTTCGAAGGGCAGCAATGCTCCCCTGTTCATTGAAGACTTGTCAAGACTTCCCTTTAATGCGAATTGAATTTGAAATGATGTATTTTTTCTTGACGCGTCAACTTTAAAAATAAAATAGGGCAAGATTAGAAGTCTTGCGCCCAAATAAGCGATTCTGTGATGAAACCATAGGCATTTGCGTCTCCGGGATTGCGGTCTTTTTAAATTGCGGCAGTCCAGCCGGATATTTTAACGAAAGGGCCAATGTAGTTGCTTTTTAGAGCACTCGGGTTCTTTAACGCAATAGTTTTTTGTTTTGTTTTATGAAATTAGGTACGCACAATGCAGATAGAGGGTGGAAAATAGGCAGGGGGGGGCTCGTCACCAACCTGGTATTAAAAATTACGCATCTGCGCAGTATTCATTGGCTAACTAAATGACAACCCTCGTCGACATCAGCCAAAATCCACCCTCCTGCCCTCTTGTTTCTCTTCATTTTCTTTTTTATCTAGTCAAAAAATATATACTTCTGCCAATTGGCCCGTCCATGTTTTGATTTGATGCTGTAGAAAATGAACTGCTTCTGGTGCAGAAACAAAATATTTCAATGACTCAACTCCATTTCATATACTTCCATTAAAACATTTAAAAATTTTATGCCGATTTCTCAACATGTCACCCATTTTACTATCAGGAGACTAAACAAAGTGTTGATGTCCAAAAAAGCTTCATACCGTAGATAGTCGTGCAAAGTCTCCAAAGTATTTTGTTTTTGTTCAGCAGAAAACGAGATCCACATGTACAAATGTGAATGAGGTCAAAATACTCTAGCAAATTCTTCCATCGTGCGGAGAGAATGGGAGGATAAATTTTTACTACCTATAACAATATTAAAATTCTACATTAAATTTTTTCTTCTTCCTTTGCTCGTGAGATTATTTTCTCCCAATGAAAATTGCCAGGGCTTTTCGTATTTTTGCCAGAGGTTCGAACTAAATGAGGTTGCTAGCTTAAAAATACTCTATAGCCCTGCTCCTCCTACTTCTCCTTTTTTCAACATAAATTTATGTGATTATTTGTATCAGATGAAAATCTAAGTTCCTTCTGAGTCATTCTATATAGGGAGGCATTTAAATGATCTCTTGTGTCAGAAAAATTGCATGTGTATTGATGGAAGGAAGAGCACTAAAAACTTGAGAAATTTCGATAGATTGGTTAGTTATAGGTAGATAGATGGGTAGCTCACGATATTAACTGTGCATTTCTGGAGCAGAGCGATGAGCATACTGCTTTTACAGCCCAAAAATAAACGGACTACATTTTGCAATCAGGAAATACTAATTTTACCTCACCCACAAAAGCACACACGGCAGCACAGGGAAACTAATGACTCAAACACTGTGTGTGAAATGAGCCAAAAATTTTGGTTTCTCATTAAAAAATGTTGTCCATTTAAGGGGCTTGGAGGACAAGGCGGATGAGTACAGTTTTTGCTATCTCGAGAAATACAAGTTTAATGTTTCGAAATTCCTTGGGTCCTCATGGCGAAAAGGAAGTTCAAACTGGCTTTTTGATGCTTAAAATTGGAATTTGGTAGCGAATTTTTCACACAATGAGCACTAAGACTAGTTTTACTTGAACTCATTAATATCTCAATTTTTTTGAAAAACTACACTTATGCGCCTTACCCTCAAAGTTCCTCATTTACGGTGTTCTTCTTTCCCCTCAGTGCGCATCTGAGTCTGCTGAGATGAGTTCCGGGTTCTGCGTATGCCCCCTCAAGAGATCATAAGTCATTTTCAATATTTAAAACTGATATTGTTTTAGATGGATAGGAAATATGAAATGCGTAGGTCACCCGCGTGATTGCGAGTGACCGTGATACGTCTGAAATGTCCTTGATTAGTAATAATTTTAACGACAGCAACTCTTTCAACTCCTTTGTAAGTTAAATTGCGTACACACATTTCTGAAGGCGATTTCAACTTCTAGAACGCTATGATCATCGTCTACAACATCTTTGCTTGGCTGACCGTAATATAAAGAATAAATAAGTAAGGGAGAGGGGAAAAAACACTGTTATTTTATACTTTCAATAACTTTGTAGAACGTAACGTTCGATTGTGCTGCACGACGCAGGTTGATCATGCTTGTTTTTGATTATTTATACGCAAAGAATTACAGATTCTCCCAAAGGTTTTCAGCGTCAAAACTTCTTGAAGCTGGATGAAAAAATATTATATTGATGGTGAAACTACCAGACCACGCATCTTGGTTTGCAACGTTGCAGACTTCCTGTCCTACTTTATTTCTTAAATGGATAACTATTCAACGTTAATTCTTGAAAACTTTCGTGATTTTTTTTCACTAAAAATAGAATGTGAGCGGAGTTCAAACACCGCAAACGAGATGTTTGGTCTGGTAATTTCACCGTCGATTGGTCCTTGTGCATAGAGACGGATGCAAAATGACTGGAGGCGCTAGCATGCTCAGACTGGAACTTATATCAGTTGATTCAGAACTAACAAGTGCATCATACAGTTTTAAAAATTCATTTCTATCTTTTGTTTTAGCTCTTAGTTTTAGACGTAAAGAATATTTTCATGTTATTACGTAACGATGTAAACTATTGATTAGCGTTTTCAATTTTTCAATTATTTTCAAATTAAGTAAGTGTACATTTTTAGCCGTCTGCGGTTTGTTTTTGTCACTATTTTTGTTATCATTATTTTAATCGTTTACTTTTTCTCCATAAACATCCGTTGTTATCATTTCATTTCCTGCGTTAAGGTGCAAAAGATCCTTTTACAAAGTATTCAAATACAGAAGGAAATACAAACATAAACATTAAGTGATTAATACAGGGAGAAGATTCATGGTACTATGCATTTATTGCGACTTTTTTTACATGCTTAGAATGGTAAATCGCTTACATGCTGAAAGCCTTAAACCTCGCAATCAATAAATGTATAGTACCAGGATTCTCCTCCCTGTTTTAATCATTTAACTAAGGCACTACTTCACAAAAAATGTTTGAATAAATATTCAGTATCCAAACACGACAGGGAATATTTTCAATCGGGGCACATCAGCCATTACTTTAACAGGTCTCTCTAAAAACTTTGTCAAGAAATGGAATTTCCTTCGTGGATTTTTCCAAAATCTCCAATCACAGTTTATTTTTCAAAAGGAAACAAACTAATTCAAAGGAAATCATTTTTATTTGAATACATACCTAATTTAAAATACCCAAGGAATAAGCCGGTAAGGAACCTTACTGCAGTACAGCTCCCAATACTTGCCGTATTTTTCTTTACACTTTCGCTCATCGCGATAGAGCCTATGCAGTATCAGGATAATCAGGAAGGGAGGAAGTAAAAAAGGAATAATTGTCCCGGAGCTGTAACCTGGAGCCGAGAATGTAATGTCGACAACCATCTCAGCAGTGTAGTTGAAGTGCCTTGCCATTCCCCAGAACCCAGAAGCTACGAGTCTGGAGGTTCGCTTTTCCCCTTTTTGGTCTGTGTACTCGGCGAGTATGACTTCAGCAGGTTTGCCATGCAATGAAATGTTCAGACTCGGGGAACTGCGAACAAGATACTTCTCGTAGTCTATCCTATATGTTAGAGCTATCGCGCCGATTCCTAAAATTAGGCAAAACAGCGAAAATAACGGAGAGGCTTTCGGTGGGTTGGCCACATAATTGTAGGCGTGAAGTGTGAAGAAACCGGGCATCCAGACTAAGGATCCCCATATCAAGTAGTAACCGGCTCGATCGAAACAAATGTCAAGCGAGTCGTAGTATCCTGTGCTTTCGTAATGGTAAAATTTCAGGATGTACAGCAGCTAAAAAGAAACAAAAAATATTAATCATCATAACGATATTCCATGGTACAAAATTCCATTGTGATAAAATTGCCATGGTATTTGTTGGTACCAATACTTAGGGCTTGTCTCCACGGGACGTTTCATGGGATTTGTCCCACGGAAAAATCTCACTTGCGAAGTTGGGAAAAATATTGAGTTAGTCAATACTAATCACAGTACCAACTGAGAGTCATTGTAGAATCCGAGGTTCGACTTAAAAAGAGGAGGAAGAAATTTTGTTGTGTTGTTTATCGGGGAAAAATCCCAGAAGTTTCATTCCTGCGATTCGAACTTGGGAAAAATCTCGTGAAGCGTACCGTGGAGACAAGGCGTTACCTTCACTGTTAGAAATGGAAACATATTTTGGATTGATTATATGTAATAAAAATCCTCTATCAGGATGAAAAAACGTCCAGTAAAGCTCGTTTGGACGATTTCGATTTTATAAAACGTCTCAGAAAAACATCCAGTGTTTCGTATTTTACAGTGTATGAATGTGCCGTGGCGTGTTTTGCGATAAATCGATTGATCTGCCGATTAAATCTATGAAAAAGACTCGATAAACAGGGTGTCCGCAACGATCACCTTAAGTAATCGATTAATTACCTCAGCTTCAAAAGGGAAAATATCAGTAATCGACCATTCACGCCTCGCCACTGATGTATTTGATTAAAATGACTCGAGGCACTGTTGAAGATAAAAAGTTAATAACTCTGACTAAAAATAGTTTCTCATCATGTAATATTTTGCAACAAAAATATTTAAACCAAGTTGCCGTTCAATGCGGTAAAATTGCAGTTTTATGCACCATAATGCAATATTTTTACAAAATTTCGTCGATGAATCCTGATTTTAGACAGTCAATACAATGAGATCCATGCGTCAAAAAGATAAGCAATTTGCAATGAAAAGGGAAACTGTAACTTGTTTCAATTTTGTTGCAATATATTTGAAACGAAAGAGCCCCTTCAATTGGTAGAAAGGCAACTTGCGCAACATTTTGATGCCGCAGCAATAATAATTTTACCATGTAATCGTGCGTGATTGCAACTTGTGCCGTGTGCTTGGTATGTACTTGAGAGGATGCCTAAGCAATGTTGTCATGAAGTAGCATAAAATTGAAAGTGGAATCTGAAGTTGTCTTCTTCTAATATTTTTGTAATAGAAGACACATCTTTTTTCATATGTTGGAATTTAAAATTTTGTTGGGAGACCTGACAACGATTCGATTGATGGAGGCTTTGTCATTTCTTTGGCATATCAGGCATCTGACAAGAATTGCTCTTTTCAATAGATTTAATCTAGGCAAATATGTTATCAAAATGTGTTCGCTGAATATTTTTAATAATATTTTAACTTCAGAGTCTTCTCTGCTGGCATTATGCAACTCTTCCAATGAAAAGTAATATAATTATTATACGTAGGTACGTTAAAACCATCTCTAATACTTCATTCGATCAAAAATAATTAAGTTCAATTTTTAGTTTTTTTAGGTCGAACTGGACAGTTTTCGTATAATTGCCCTCATACGCTTCATGCCGACCAGTGATCGCACTGTTTTAGTGCAATGCGTGAAATATTCCTGCACTCTTGTAGGCGCTAATATACAATTCACGCCGACTGGGCTTGGAGGACAAGGCGTATACGTGCAGTTTTTGCTATTTCGGGAAATATGCGTTCGAAGTTTCAAAATTGCATGGATGCTTGTGGCGGAAAGAAAGTTCAAACTGACTTTTTGATGCTTAAAAATTGGAATTGGGAAGCGGATTTTTCATAGAATATACATTCAGACTAATTTCACTTGAAATCATTAATATCGCAAGTTCTTCAAATACTTCACTTATGCGCCTTTTCCTCTGAGCCCCTCATTTGTATTTTTGCCAGTGCACCAATGTTAATTGCAAACGCTAATATCTTTCCCAGACTTTCCGTTGTGTACTTCGTCAATCTCTCAAAATTTGTGAGAGAGAACATGTTTGTACTTCTTTAATTTACTCATATCAAATCTAGTGGTCCATTTCTCGGGTTGTCAAAGCAAAATTTTGGTTCGCAGGATTCTACCTCTATATTAACTACGTCAATCTCTTCCACTTAAAGGCTCAGATACACCTGCGAGTTACTAGCGCTTGTTGAAACTGAAACACCAAATGGCAAGGAGAATTTCGGTAGCTCGACGAGGAGCGATCGAAATCCTGGTTTCCAATTGATGTTTAACTTCCAACAAGCGTTTTTAATGGAGATATTGCATGTTTAAGGAATTTGCGATTTGACTAGTGATTCTTATGTAAAAGTTCGCGAGAAACACGATGTGGCCACTGGTTTTCTCTGAAATTAACTCTTAAACTCAAAAAAAGCTCTCAAGTTGAGGCCAAAATGGAGGGGATATCCCATGCTATCCTGAGAGTCCACTCCACCTCTACATCAAGACGAACTCCCCATGCAAGGATAGGGAGCAAATACATTGACAGGGCTGCCACTTTATTTGGGGACTCCAAAACTGAAAACACGGCAACCCTGCTAATGTTTTCGTTCCCTATCTTTGCATGGAGAGTTTGTTTTGATGTAGAGGTGGACTTTCAGGATAGCGTGGGATATCCCCTCCATTTTGGCCTCAACTTGAGAGCTTTTTTTGAGCTTGGGAGTTGTTTTCAGAGAAAACCAGTGGCACTATCGTGTGTCTCGCGAACTTTTACGTAAGAATCAATTGCAAATTCCTCACACATGCAACATCTCCATTCGCGGGTGTATCTGCCGCTTTATCCAATCACAAACTAACCAGGATAAGTGCGGACACGACGATGGGGTAGCTGAGGCCGTGGAGCTGGACGGTGGCAATGAAATAAACAAGAGACAGGAGCAACCAGGCCATGCATCCAAATCGACTGATGACGAGCTGTTTGACGCTGACCCCGCAGAAGGTCGGGCAGAGCTCCACGCCACGGTAGAAGTCGAAAATGAGGGTCCCGGGTGTGGCGGCCCCGTCTTCGGGTGCTTCCTCCGGGAAAAGTTTCCCCTTAACCAAAAGCCACACGCAGAAAAGAAGCGCCGTGATGCTCGTCGCCCCGAACAGCTCAGGGGTCATCTTGTAGATAACTAGCGCCCAGTCTGGCCGCGACAGAAGCATCCCGCCGAACACTGCTAACGTCGACCAGAAGAACAGGACCCCGTTTGCCTGCCAAATTCATACGCCAATTTTTATGAAACTAAATGAGTAACTGAATGGAAAAATAACTCATGTTACTAAGGAGCAAATGGACCGAGTTTAACAGAAAGGAACCGAGCCACATCAGCTATTGCCAAGTTTAACTGGGCGATTAAATTTTTTACTAGAGAACGTTTGTTTGGATTTCTTTGAAAATTTTAAGGAATTTGCTTCCTACCATGGAAAATTTTCACTGAACTTTGCACGAAAATCCGCACAACTGTTTTCATGTAAAAAATTAAATTGCCCAATAAAATTTGGCAATAGCTGATGTGGCTTGGTTCCTTTCTGTTTAACGCGGTCCAAACAATGTTAAGCGCTGGAGCTAATTATTAGCTTTTCCCTCTATCCGAATTTCGTATCTAATGGATGAAATAAAGAATCCTATTTTCACACGTAAAGTTTTGGGGCATCAGTGATTTTTTAGATATGAATATAGGGATTTTAGTAGCTTTTAATTTGACTCATACATAGTTTTTAACCTGACGCGATTATTAGAAGTGGATAAGTTTTTTTCATTGGATGAAAAAGTACGATGAAAACGGTCTCTTTTACGCGGGAACGGATCCAGTACTTTCGTGATGTCAGAGCTCATGACAAACCAGGTCTTTTCATCATTTACGATGTATACTCTCCACAAGGGATTGTCAGTCGTTTAATGAAGGGACTAGGTTCGTCGTGCCCTGTGACGTCACGAGTGAACCGGATCCGTACCCGAGTAAAAGTGACCGTTTTGAATGGATCGGTTCTTAACCAGCTTTTTTTGAGTTTGGGGCGTGATTTCAAGATTTTGTAAAATCGCCATCGTCCTTTTTGCGAAACTTGTCATTGACATCAATTATCAATTCGCGATTGCCCGTATCTTGCAACAGACCCATTTCCGCGCTGAAAAATAGTCGGATGCATCGGTTTTCTGTGTTTCCGTTGACAGGCGGGTTGCCCGAGGCTCAAATACCTCTCCCCTTTGCTTTGGGTACAGGTATTGTTTGTAATAAACGGTTTTCAAGGCATTCTAAGCATCTGTGTTCATTAATGATTCATCGGCAATTTCGAAGTCGTAGATCTCCGTTTTCCGTGAAAATGTCTTTGCACTTTTCTACCCATTTAAAAATACTCGGAGAAAAAGTTAATGAAATATCCTTGTTGGTTCTTTCTTTCACAGAAGTGAAACATAATCGAATATTTTGAACGTAACAATGAAGATGATACGCATTTTCAAACTTTAGCTATGGATATGGAAGGATCCAACATGAGTCAGCTAAACGGCATGCCTTGTTGCCTAATTTCCGATCATGATTCATGCTCTCGTGTAATGTAAAACCAAAAAACCTGTTGGAGCCTCCTACGCCTGAATTATAAATAATATTAAAACGAAATTTCAAGATAGAGTGTTGCTGAGTTTTCTGTTCAAAAAAGTAAACACGGGAATATATTAGGAAAAAGGGGCTTTCGTATTACGAAAAAGTCAAGATTAGTATAATGGCGGCCTTACCGACAGGAGGGGTTTAGACATTTTTTTGCATAAATATCCAACTAAACACGATTTCCAAGCAATAGCCGCAGTTTTATTGCTGCATTTTTAATGGGGCAAGCTCGATCCAAACAAGCGCCTTCAAATGCGTAAGTAGGCAATGCGAGCGATTTTAGCAGCACCAGTTGATTGCAGTAGTTTTACTAAAATTATTAAGCTTGGGATTGGACTCACGACAAATATTCTAGTCTAATCAGATGTTGTATTCACGGAGAATGTTTTTCAAAAATTGTGTGACGTCGAATATTTTGGCACAAATACATACTCCCCCCCCCCCCCCCCCNTTAACGACATGATACTTTCAATTTTGGTTTCCATGCTCATGTTCTACCATAAAGTCTCTGCACCTAGTCCTCACTTTGCCTCCCACGTGTTTCTCGTGTGAACTTATCACATCGATGGCTAAGGTATGAAAACACGTATTTCTACTGCGGCGTTGCAATACGCCCACTCCTATTCGATTTTTTAAAAGAGAAACAAAGCCAACAAAATTTATAGCTTGACATTTTTGGAGAATGCTATGCTTATGTAGATGAGAAGTTAAGGAAGTTTTCAAAAGAAAAAAACATTTTTAGCGCAATACAGCCATTTTTTCTTTGTGGCTGTAATGGCTGTAATGGCTGTGGTAAAAATGGCTGTAATGGCTGGAAGTATGAGAAGGGGTCTGCAACGTCGCAAACAGACATACATTATAACAACAACACACAACATTAGTGTCTGAAATTCGATGAATTTAATGTCTAAGTGGAATCTACTGGGTTATCTGAACACGATGATACCCTTGTAATAAACAATTATTCGAGGAGATATGACAAAATGTCTGCTAAAATACATGTGTTTCAATGAGGAATGATGACATATGATGTCACTAGGCGCATTTTCTCACTTTCAAATTTATTTTTACACTAATTCCTTTATCAGAAAAAAAATTATAAAAAATACTGCAAAATCAGCTCTTAAAGCTCTCTCAGATGAACAAATGAAAAATTTGAGAGCGAATTCTCCATTAGGCCATTGTATACTTCAGTTCTGCAACTGCAGCTCAACTTGAGATTTTTTAGAAACGAACAAACGTAACGATGGAAATAAACAGCAGCTTTGTGAAAATTTTAAAATTACTCACCGCATACTTGGGCTCGAAGCCAGAGGGTAGTGCTGGGCCGGTAATCGTCTTGGAGGGTATTTTTAGGAACAAAAGCACCCAGAGTATGTACATGAATAAAATTATCCATGCTTGTGTATTTCCTAGGCTGTATTTCAAAAGTGAGGATAGGGTAATCGGTTCATTCCTTCCAGTGAATGTCAGGAGTTGTGCTGATAACGTGAAGAAAACCACGAAGACAGGAGGGACAATTTTTGTGTGAACGAACTCGTACAGACTCATTTTAAATCTTTATCTGCACATTTTAAGAGTACCAGTAAATAAAAATAATAATAATTGAGGTTACACAAGTTTACTCACTGTGCAATTTTATTATAAAACTAAAATTTCAACAGTTTCATGTGGGAAAACCGAAAACTTCTAAGAGCGTGAGTTGAAAAGTCAGTGTGTATATTATGCATAAGAGACATTAATATCAGTTTTTCCTCGCGATGTATGGACTGTCTTACTAAGGAAATAGGCCGTCGAAGCAGTCAAATGTTGCCGAATATCCTCCGATGAAAAATTCATTTTAGAGAAATCTCATAAACAATATTCCTCAATAATCTCAGACTACATATATATCCCAAGTAGCATTTTCAACGGAAAAATCGCGAACAAATTTAAAATTACGTAGCAACCTTTTTACGATTTTTTGACGATAAAATCGCTTGGATCATAAACATCTGAGTGATTATCCTCGATCTGGTCGCAATCTTTTCTCATTAAAATCTACATTTTATCTCAATTTATTACGACTTTTTGGTCCGCGATGAATCGCGATTTATCGCAAATTTAGGTGATGAAATCGCAATTTTTTATGTGATATTATTGCAATAAATCGACGCCGATAAAATCGCGATACATTCTTCAATCAAATCGCAACTTATCGCGATCACTGCTTCTTGGGATACTGGACTAAACTGTTCATTCCTTAAAAATTCGAAATTTTTGTGCAAACTTTTTCACAGAAAGTGTGTATTTTATCATTATAACTTCGGCAACTTCTGAATGTAAAAAAAAATTGTAAGTAGCGTTTTTCCTTAGCACGACATTGTTGGTATGTTGCAAAGGTAAACAGATACACACCTCCGACCGACCAAATGTTGAGATAAGATCACATATTCTCAATTTTCGGCCTGTTATTAACTTCAAGGAATGGAATTTAAAGAACTAGTTTTTCTTAATTAATGCTAACAACTTCAACGGCAAAAACGATTATTTTCTCTTCATCGCGAACATTTTCAAAGAAAATAGAGGAAATTAAAAGTAAAATTGTACCCACATTACTCGGAGGCCCATAAAATGAGATTATTAAATAACACCTCCCACTTCATTGATCTTGACAAACACTGAGACCATAGTGCTGGTAGGAACTTAATGAAAACGATCTCAAGTGACAGGCGATAACAAGGCCCCCTCTTTGCCAAATGATAAAATAATTAAAACAATTATAATAATAAATTATTATTATTTTATTATATTACATTATTTCATCATAATTTATTTTTTATTGTTTTTATTTTTATAATGTTTGCATTACATTATAATACCGTTAAGTACTTTCAATTAAAATAATTATAATGAATAACGTTCTGACCAATCCTATCCTATTTAGAAAGAAAAAAAAAGTAGGCAGTCGATAAATATCTTCCATCCGAGCATTAATTGAGCGCCATTAATTAGAATCAGCCGAATTCCATCAGAGTTACTGTTACCTACCTATACCTAATTTCTCTCATGTTACATTTATTTTTAAACAACGATCAGCCACATTCTATTTAAAAAATCGTGTTTTTTTCTCAGTTACTGATTTCAAAGCTACAGTTACTGTATATACTGAATTTCATAACGAAAGTACAGGATACTTTGCCTCAATTGGCATTTTCGATTGAGCAGGCCACTCTAGCTGGATATGTTAATTGACATCTTCAAGTATGATTCAATCGCCCAATTCTTGAAATCTTATTCAGTCGCCCAATTCTTGAAATCTTCAATCGCCCAATTCTTGCAATCTTACCAATAGAAACGATAATGTTGATGTTGATAATCACACCTCTCTAAATTTCATCTTAGATTTATTTTATTTTCAGCCTCAAAATGATCTTTAACCACGATACATTACGTTGGAACTCAAAATTGGAGATCATCCTATATTTGCTCTGTTCATTGTTGACACGTAAGTCCTATGTTACAAACTGCCTTCGTCTAAGAAAAGATGGAACAATGGGCAATTTTACGATGCTCTGGTGCAAGGCAAAAATTAAAAACAACCCGTATAATTCATCTATCAGGCTGGGAGTATTAACTGCACTATCAGCGAGTTACTTTATGGTCCCGAAGTTTGTTACACTATGTACATGGTTCGGTACCATCAAGTGAGTTACTGATAGTGTAATCATAACACCCGAAAATGTGATCAAAAACCAAAGTCCTAGGAGTATAGAGTTTTTTGTATGACATTTTGCGGATGCATTATTTTTAGAATCCAAACTTTTTACTTTAATGGTCAAACTTCGGTCCTCCTCATATTTTCAACAGGAGTAACGGTTTTTATGACTGTCTGAAACCTATGAAAAACTTGAAATTACGGGCATAGCTTTATACAAGAAGTATAATAGCATGGCATGGGTCATACAAAAAAAGAATAAGTGATAAAAGAAAAATAAATAAATACAAATCCTATATGATTGAAATTAGTTTGTGAGACTGAAAATTTTGACTCTCAGTTACTTTACTTTTTTCAGAGTCAATGAATTATAGAGAAAATAATTTAATATCTTAATATAATTTAGAGAGAATTCAGGAAAAAAATGGAAGGGCAACAGCATGGTGATGATGGCAGTGGCATTCTTGCAAGTTTGCAATACCAAGTTTCATCCATTAAAATGTATGGACGAGTGATATCTATCGATGTATCGCCTAGAATCGATTATTTATAAAGGTTCAAAATAACGAAAGAAACAGAGTTGCCTATCGACAATTTTCCCGGAACGATTAGACTGTGGCAACCCGGTGAAGGTGGCAAGTCAGTAGCTGCAGCAAAATAACAAGGTATCATGTAAATTACGCGCATTTATTATATCGTTTAATTATCTCGTGATTATGTCTTGCTTATCATGCCATGCAGACGGCCTCGCTGGAGTTCCTCATTACGAACATTCGAACATTCCCTAATTTAAATTTTTCCTGGATAAATGATGGAAAAGCTGCATCATTATGCTCAAAATAAAGGGTATCCAGAAGCGAAGTTTACAAAGGCATTTTCTTCGTACCTTACATCCCATGATTTACAGAAAAAAGTGGACCGATTTTAACAGGTTGGAACAATTCAAATCGGGATCAAAACGAAAACAAGGTATTTGAAGTTTTGCTCTATCGATAAAAATCAATGTTTGAGATAAAGGTCATTTGAGGGGCTTGGAGGAAAAGGCGCATTAGTGCAGTTTTTGAAAAAAATTGAGATATTCATGACTCGACTAGAGCTAGTTTAGAGGTATATTCCGCAACAAACTTTCCGCGAAAATCCAATTTTTAAGCATCAAAAAGTGAGTTTAAACTTCTTTTCCGCCATTAGGCTAATGGCAATTTTTAAACTTCACACGTGTATTTCTTGAAAAAGCAACAACTGCACGTATGCGCCTTGTCCTCCAAGCCCGGTCGGCGTATAACGCATATTAGCGCCTACGAGAGTGCAGAAATACTTCACGCATTGCGCCTAACGCAGTGCGATCGCTGGTTGGCGCGGAAAGCATATTAGCGCCTGCAAGAGTGCAGGAATACTTCACGCATTGCGCCTAACACAGTGCGATCGCTGGTCGGCATGAAACGTATGTGGCAATTTTTAAACTTCAGCTTTTTTAGCTTTTATAGTGCTTTCAATCAGTACATTGGAATATCACAACTTAGCTGAATTAATTATTCCAAAGCCAAAACAGTAAGCGTCACCGAACTGACATTAATGGTGGTTTTTCTGACTTCCAAGTCTCATTTCTATACATAATCGTATAGATATTGCGATGCACGTAATTAAATCTTACAGTATGGAGCTCTAAGATAACAGAAAAGTAGTCTTAGCTTGATATAGCCAAATCATTTATCGACTTTTTTTTCGAACCATTTTCTCCCATTAGCTGAAATCCACCCATATAACCTTAATGTTCAATGCTTATTCAAATGAAGATGGAGGATCTGAAGATCATCTATTGCAAAATTACAAAAGTTCAAAGTTTTATCTACACTGTAACATTAAATTATTATGACTGTGTATTGTTCACTTTTGTATGAAGGATGGTCGGTGGTTGGTGTGCGGTGGTGAGATGCCGGCTGGCGTGCAGTCACCTTGATGTATGTATGCGCGAAGACGGACATTCAACCTGCCGATCGCTGATCATCGAAAAATCTCGCAATTAGCTACGCAACCCAACTTGCGGTCACCGTATCAAGCCACGTCCGGTCCGGCCCGTAAATGCTTCCACTACCGCTCTTCTACACGGCGTCTTAAAAAAGAAAGCCGTAAGAGCATTTGGATGTTGCCAAATCACCTCTCTGAAAATGCGGATTTTCCGGAAAACTCGTGAAATTATTCCCTTTTGAAATTTTCAGCAAATTTTTTTTGAAGTTTGATCTATTGAGTTTTTGGAAATCTTAATGATGAATGTAAACATTTTTTCAAAATCGAATAATTTCTTGGGAGAAGTTTGGCAACACTCAAATCCTCGTACGAAGTTTTTCTTCAGCAAGGCAGCGATACGCTCTCGCGTCTGCCACGCTTATACGTCCGGCCAGCGGGCTGAGTATTGAAATTGATGGACAAAGTGTTAGATAAAGAAGACACTAGGAATAAGGAGCGATTCCATTGGTTGAAATGAATGGTTCCTGGAGACTGAGGGAGGAAATGATGGACCAACTACAGGGGCTCTCGTGGGTTGTCATTAATTAGTTAGTCTATTACCTATCTCCTTTGTCCGTTGCAACCGACCTCTTCCACCAATAGGAGCCCTCCAAATCCCTTTTGTCCTCTTTGTCTGTCAATTTCAATAATCGACCTAGCCTGGCAATCTCTGCTCTCTGCTATTATTAATGACAAAATACACTCAAACTGTATATTAGATGCTTTAAAATTTCGAAAATTTTCTGGTCCTCACGCCCACCTATTCGCAATGTCTGGATTCGCCCGAGGATATGCGTATAATAATTTTAGAAATAGATTTGATAGTTAAGAGTCTACGAAATTTTACCTATGGCTATAAAAAAAGAGCCATTTATTTCAAATTAAGAAGGTGTGGTATCAAGGATACCCAACACAACAGCTAGGATAATACATTAATTCACAATCAGAGGGGTAAATGGGTAAGATCGTCATTCGTGGAACTAAATTTTTATCTGTCCGAACCGCGCTTGGTTATAATAGATTTTATACGATTATTATACATTTAATCATTCTGCTTTTATAGGTGGGCGTATGTCGCACAGCATATTTTATCCTCTTTACGTGAACAGAGGCACCAGAACACATCGATTACAGCTTTCACAGTCACGGGGCACACAATCAACTATTCCAGCCTCAAAGAGGCACAAATTGCCGAGTCTCTGTTTTGAAGGAGTTTTGAATGGCTTGGATGCGGTTTGGAGTTTTTTGATGATGTTTCCGCCTTGTCAGCGAGTAAGTATACTGCAACTTGGTGATACGGTGTAATTACAAAGTTGTAGCCATTTCCAAGTATGAAAAGAGTCGCAATGGGTCACTTTTGCTGGTCAAGGGTTTGTGTTTCAATGCTTAATTCTTGTAGATCAGCCCGAAGTTCAATATTAACGAATATATCGCGATTTGAGAAATTCGGTTTATGACGCTATGTACCGAGTTTTTCTCTCTATCTTGGATGCTATCTTATCAAGTATCCCTATTTTAGCTAAGCGCCCTCCAAGACGGGACTCCTGCCTGCGGGTCGATTGTTAAATTGTTATCGATCGATAAATAGCATTGCCAAGATGGGTATTTACCGATCAAGTTCATTCGATAACGATTCGATAATTGACCGGCTGCACACAAAAGAGGCGTGTTACCCCTTGCCCACCGCCGTTTTCAAAATTCAGATACCCTGCTAACGTCTAGGTTACAATATAACTAGTCCAGATACCCATAATTCGCACACTGCATGTGGATCTGGGCGAACTTATTCCAGTAACAAAGCTACCTGGACGAGCTACCATTGCAACTGAGGAGCAACTCTTATTTTTGCTCTAGCAAAAGTTT